ATTTCAAGCTGGTCTGAACCCAGTCGTCTTCGGCACTTAAGCATTTGTCTGCAGAACTGAAGACGGCTGGGTTCAGAACAGACTATACTGATGTTGATGTAATTTTGTTTTTTGCTCTCTCTCTCTCTCTCTCTCTCTCTCTCTCTCTCTCTATATATATATATATATATATATATATATATATATATATATATAAGTATAGGATTGGTGTAGACGGAATAAAATTCCAATAACCAAAAACGCTATTCTTAAAAGAGTGCTCAATACAGGGTAAAGCAAACATTATCCATTCAAAAATTATAAAATAAACATGTACATTCAACACCATCACTCGAGAAAACAAACAGAAGTGCTGAAACAAAATGGCTATTTTTGTAGTGATATGTTTATGTTATAATTTTTGAATAAATAATTATATATATATATATATATGTGTGTGTGTGTTTGCGTGTGTGTGTGTGTGTGTGAAACATAGTTTTGCCATGGACGTGACTTCCTTTTAATATCGTAGGGCAATATTGGGAAATGTGTGAAATTCATATCAGAGTTTGCCCCATGATTTTTCGGCGAAATAGAAAAGCACAAAATCAGAAATCAACGTGGCAAAGTGTTTGAACGAGTTGAACATGCTCTCTCCTACTGATCATGACAGATTGTTCGATCTATGGGCAGAAACTCACCGTAGTTGTAGTAGAATCTAGGATTTGAAGAAACACACACAAAAACAAAATCTACCTGAAGCTGCAGCAAACGGAAGGCGGGCGTACTTGTAAATGTAAAAACAAATCGCAAGAGGGCCAAGAACAGCTGTTGCATAAAAAGGGAATTGGCTTTTTGTGTCTCAAAGTGCATTTGACACGGTGTTTTTGTTTTACTTGTCTACAGCAGCAATAAACATTGAAAAATATGTGAATAATTGAAACAAAATAATTGCACTTTAGGAGACAGAAAAGCCAATCTATACAATACGCACGTAGACACCTAGAGACACCTGCACGCTTAGATAATTTATATATATATAGTGATTTTCCAAGCGTACCTTTGATGTGGCACAAGGCCGAAAGGGCATCAAGTGAGTATTGAACTCACTATTCAGTCGTATCTCTTCTAGCGGGACAAGCTTGATAACCGTTACACCGCCTCGAGTTTTATATATATATATATATATATATATATATATATATATATATATATATATATATATAAAAAAGTGAACATAGAAGTCAACACTTAGAGGCGACAGTCTGTTTCATGCTATATGCAATCGTCAGGCCACATATGCTGTTATTTTTCTCGGCTATTTATATATATATACGGGTTAGTGGTGCATTGTGAGTATTCTATTATGGCGGTTATTTTACCGGAAGTCGTTTGTTTATTTATTTGGGTCAAGTTATATTGCTCGTTTTTATTTTTGTTTCTTATTTTATTTATTTATTTATTTATTTATTAACGCAGTAAAAATTTGTTTATATCACTTTTTAAAGCTATTTGTTCAATTTTGGGGTTGGTTATAATAATAGTTAGAATGAACTACAACGTTCATTCTAACTATTATTTTTTTGGCGGGAACAGTTTTTAATTTGGGATTGGTTTGTCTATTTATTTACTTGGATGAATTTAGGTCAATTTATTTTACTTGTATATTTTCTCTTTTCGGTTTTAAGCAACATAGTATTTATTTATTTTTTATTTCTATTTTTTATTGTATTTATTTGTTTTTATTTTATTTTTTCCGTTTTTCATTTTTTAGGTTACGTAGTAAAAATTTATTTTCATGCCTAAATTTTGAGATGAGCTCGGATCTTTTATTTAATAATTTATTTTGGTCGGGGAAAGTAATGATAGCTATTTTTTCCTCCAAGCAAAGTTTGCAAGTTTTTGATTGGTTGTTGTAGGCTAATGACTTTTTCCTTATCTTCCAAGATATTTTTGGTGTGATGTGCGTTTTGTTTTTAATTTCCCAGATATACTTAGAAAGCATTGTACTGTTCGCATATTTACTATTTGTGAAAGATGTTTTGTGTGTATAATTTCTTTGCTTCCAGGGTCCTTCAGTTACTCCTATGTATACTTTTTCTTCATTATCTGGTGATTTTATCGTGGCTTGGTATATTACGTTGTTTTGTAAATAATTTCCGTTTAAGGACATTCGTTCTTTATTCTGCAGTTGCACGTGGGTTTAATTTGTTCGTGTGGTTTGTTGATAATTTTCCTATTGTGCTTTTTTATTATTTGTGCCATGCTCTCGGTGCAGCTGTAGCTGATTTTTTTTACTGTGTTTTTGTTGAATATCTTGTGTAAGGTGCTTGATTCTGGGAAGTGTTTGTGTAAGAGTTTGAAGAATATTTTTCCTACGTTTGTTTTTACGTTCTTGCTGTACTGTACGGTGGGTTGAACCATATGATATTTCTTCTCCTGTTGGCCTTTTTTGTATTCTGTGGTGAGTATGTGAGTGTTGCTGGGAATCCGCTATCCGCGATAAGTAACAAAAATCTTGTTAATCCGTATCGATAATCCCAAGGGGGATGAAATCCTGAGAGTTCAATGTTAAGTCAGATCGAATAATTTAATTTAAAGAAAAACAGACCACTTTAAGTCTCCATTTGTAATAATTTATTTCACCAGAATTTTTTTTCTCTGGATCTTCAGACTTCACTTTCAAAAGGGGAAACGAAAAATGAATTTAAAATTTACAATTTTGACGGGCAGTATTAAGCTTATATAAGTTGACATAGACGGTGGTGAGGAATAGTGTGAGAGACATATATTTGAGAGGGAAACAAAGAGTGCGATTCGTGCCTATGTTTGTAGTCACTATGAGAATGATAGGTGCGATGTAGATAAAAATCCCACATGCAAAGTATATTATTCACTTTTTTCTTTATTATCTACAGACACGGTTCATTATTTCATTTTGTGCCAACGCCATCTATTGGCCATAGTCCACCTTCTTTGAATGACATGTTATCTATCTCTCCTCAATGTCTGCAATGCCACGCTCACTTCGTATTCGTGAAGGTATTTCTTTCAATCTTCTCCTTTCCAATACTTTCTGTCGTCTCTTATTATTTCTATTCAAACTGACACTTTTCTCATTTGTGGACCTTTTTTTACTATTTACTTACGTCGCTATAAGTTTCAGTTTTCTAGATTTACCCCAATTAGTTGGATTAGAATTACTTTTATTACGTCACATTTAAAAAAAAAAATTCTTTACTTTTTTATTGTTACTCGCGCATTCGAAATTATTTCAAAATCAAATTGTCTGTCTTATTTATCTGCGTATAAATCCTTCTAGTTTAAGACAGTTTCTATCTATCTATCTAAAATTACTAACTGATGTCAAAACAATTAGATAACACGCATAAAAACGTATACGTATCTATCTATCTATCTATCTGATCTCTATCTATCTATTATTTTTTCGTTGTCTATCTACCTGTCTATCTATCTATCTATCTATCATTTTTAATTATTATCTATCTATCTATCTAAAATTAATAACTGAAATTAAAAACAATCAGATAACATGCATAAAAACGTATGCGTATCTATCTATCTATCTATCTATCTATCTATCTATCTATCTATCATTTTTCATTGTCTATCTACCTGTCTATCTATCTATCATTTTTTCATTATCTATCTATCTATCTATCTATCTATCTCAAATTAATAACTGATATCAAAACAATCAGATAGCATGCATAAAGACGTATGCGTATCTATCTATCTATCTATCTATCTATCTATCTATCTATAATTTTGTCATTGTCTATTTTTTTATTATCTATCTATCTATATAATTGTTGTTGAGTGATTTCACCGTGAGGGCTTGTATTTGTACTAAGTCGGTCCTAAAATAGGTTCGACGTACCAAACGTTAGGAACTTCATATAATAGGTATGACGCAGAGTAAATCTAGTTGTGGTCGCTGATAGTTTAGTATTCGACTAACTGTCGTCCCGCATCGACTGACTGAGCCGTCTCACTGAGCGGTATTCGGTCACCACCCCTACAAGGGCATCATGTGGTACAAGGCCGGTTTAACGTGGGATCTCCGAGCCCGTGGGCTCGGCTAAAAATATGTCCTATGTCCTTTTAAAACCCGTATAAACGGGTTCAGGGTCGGTTTACCTCCCCGAAAGAGACTCCGCCCTTCGGCGTAGCCTCGTTCGGGTTCCTCCCCGCCCGAAGGCAGTGAGTTCAACCGGTCAGCCGGTCGTCTGACTTCAGACTGAACTCAGACCGAGCCACTGAGCAGTATTTAGTCACCATCCACGAGGGCATCATGTGGCACAAGGCCGGTTTTACGTGGGATCTCCGGGCCCGTGGGCTCGGCCAAAAAAATGCCCTTTGAACCCGTATAAAAACGGGTTCAGGGTCGGTTTACCTCCCCGAAAGAGACTCCGCCCTTCGGCGTAGCCTCGTTCGGGTTCCTCCGCCGGTCGTCTGACTTCAGACTGAACTCAGACCGAACCACTGAGTGACTCCCCCTCGTTACTCTTTTTACTCCTACTTATTATAGGTGGGAGAGTCTATTAACTATAGAATAGGTGTGTTCCACTATAACGCATATATATATATATATATATATATATATATATATATATATATATATATATATATATTGTTCCTCCTGCATTCGAAATTATAGTATGTACACGCAAATATGATTTTATTATTTCAAATTTGGGGGTAGTGTATTTGCAAATATAAACGGTGTGGATATAGAAATCAACAATGCAGGTTGACTGACGTCAAATACATTCTCGTCATCTGAAGACTGCAAGAGCGTAAAAACTGAGAAAAGACTCCAGCTGTCCTTTGCTAAATGCTGACGTTGTGAAGCGTATTTTTATTTATTTATTTATTTATTTATTTTTTGGCTTTGTCTGGCCAGACTGGATATTGAGCATTTTACTGCGCTGGTAGGGGTATTCCGTTTGGCTTTTCTTTCTTTTTCCCTTCCTTGTTTGTCATTTTCCTTGTCTATGGTGTGGGATATCGGATAGCTAGCTGTCTGTCATATCAACATACTTGTTTTTTTCTTTTTTCTATATATATATATATATATATATATGTATATATATATATATATATATATTGTGTATGTAGACAGCAATCCTTCACTTATGCATGTTTCATTAAAAACGACAGCTTCTTATTTAATTTTTCTTGTGTTTGAACAAATGTTTTCTTTTTGGGACGCAGAGTATGTACAAGCTATCCAAGTGTTCTATAATCCCGAACGCTTTCGGCTATAATGTTAACCATTATCAAGTATGATTTTATTTATTTAGTTTAATTGAGTGCGTGCGTTGTGTGTATGTTTTTAGTGTTATAGAGATGTTTTATTTTCCGAATACGGTTAGCACATTGTAGCCGTGTTCGTAGTTAATATTATTAAGTGTTGGTTTATTTTTTTTATTATTAAGGCTTACATTATTTTTAATCGTTTTTTTACAGGTTGATGAGGGTATTATGTTTGTATTTTCTACCAGACTCCATCCGAAACATATTAGTAGAAAATAGAAACATTTGAACAGTTTGTACACAGTCTGTGTCCAAAAAAGAAAACACTTGTTCGAACACAAGAAAATTAAATAAAAAGCTTAATCGTAGTACATTGTCTGTCGTTTTAAAATGAAAACATATATATAGTAAAATAAAGGGAAAGAACAGTAAGATTTATAATCCGGTGTTCTTATTATTTTTATTTTTTTTAAAAAAGTGCTCAATACAATTCTGCAGAGCATAAATCTTCATGTATACAATTACAAATTTAACGGCCAACCAAAAGTGCCGAAAAACTTTTTGTCATTGAAAAAAAAACAGACGACATGCGAAAAACATTGAACAGGCACCCCTACCCCACCTTAACTTAACCTCATTTCGAAAGTAACTCATATTTTGATACAATAATTGTCAGTGAAAATGAATACCCTACCATCCCTTGTCAAAATGATTGAATTTCCCCGTATCCTTAGCAACTAATATTAAGAATGTATGTGCTTATAAAACTCTGTAAATTTCAAAATAAGTTATTCCAAAGTTCGCATAAAAATGAAACAGTATTAGGGTTTTTAATTTAATTCTATAATTAAATTTGAAGATTTTAGTTTCTATTTTTGAAACATGATAATTCTTATATAGCAACGGAACCATATTTTTTAAACAAGTAAATTTATAATATATATATATATATATATATATATATATATATATATATATATATATATAGAGAGAGAGAGAGAGAGAGAGAGATCTGTTTGTGTGTGTTACTCGAATGCTCAGCAAACTTTACGCATCAAATGTATTCATCAAAGTTGATAGAGCTTTTTTTTCCCACTTACAGTGATTTCGGCAGACATGTTTAGGAAATCGTCCATTGAGTATCGTACTAGCAATCAGAATACCAATAAAAAATTTAGATAATATTATCTATCTGCTTGTCGGTAGACCCATCCGTTTAGAAATCTAGTGATGTAGCAATTTTTCCTTTATTTATTGATTGATTGATTTGATTAACAGTAAATATTCTTCCCGATACATTTTCTATAAACATTTTCATGGCCACTGTTCTAACAAACTTTTCTCCCTGACGCCCCAGCTACCTGAATTTAGGCTTGCTGCTAGATTGCTACCTGGGTCTCACCTGTTTACTGCTGAAATAGCTAAATGCAACCGCCATTTATACTCCGACAGTTTCTTTTCTCGCACTTCTCACATGTGGAACTCCCTTTCATTTACTTGCTTTTCAGATAAAAATATAAATGCAACTACAATCACAATCTTTTGTCTTACAATCGCCATCTTTTGTCTTTTCCTCACCTCCATCTACTCTCAGTCTTCCCTTTGACTTTCATTCCCTGTACCCGCCACTTGCGTACTAGCGGCATTCCCGCCAAGCTTGGGGTGAAAGAACTAAAACACAATCGCTTCATATTTTCCTATTTTCTAACTGTTGTGGTAGGATCCACCTAATTTGCATAGTGGAGTACCGACCATATAAATATGGTTGGTACCGGGAAGAGAGGGAGGAATCAAGAGATTCACTCTCAGTCGAACTCTCTGCATTTTGCAGTGAGGGACCCGAACGAGGCTTTGCTGAGAGGTAGGGTTTCGTCCGGGGTGGTAGACAGGCCTTGAACCCGTCTAGGCGGGTTCAGAAAGGCCATATTTTTGGCCGAGCCTAAGGGCTCGGAGATACCCACTTTAAACCGGCCTTGTGCCACATTTTATCCTCGTGGGTGGATAGATAAATACAGGAATCAAGAGATTCAACCAGAGGCTCTGCCCGACTGCGACTCAGTCAACACATTCTCCAGGAACGGTCTTACCAGGAATATACAAAAGACTATATGTAAATATTGTGTACACTTTCTTGTTTCAATACATTTTGTTCTAAGTACATTTTGTGTTGCATTATTATTCCATGCATTAGTCAAGTTTCAACACTAACCTAAGATCCAGAGTGGTCATTAAAAGAAGTCACCAAATGACATTCTAAGCGCGATCTCAATCTGCTTTCTCGCTTATGTTTACTTTCTGCTCGCTCGAGAAACCACGACCTTTTTGACAGATTAACAGATTCATCAATCTTTTCAAAATAATTTCAGCAACACAAGTGTGTGTGCGCATTGAGAGAGAGAGACACAGAGAGAGAGAGAGAGAGAGAGAGAGACATGTATATACGTGTGTGTGTGTTAGGGCAGCAATTTATCATTGTACCTTTGGCTGAAGAAGCTGTACATGCACTCTACTTATATTATGAAAGTGATTAATGCTGCAAAACACTTAAATAAAATAAAATAATCGAAAGACAAATGATAATCGCTACAAACGGACTAAATAAAACTTACAAACAACTCAACGAGACTTTATTTCATCCTAAATTTGGGATTTATCAGCAGGGCGCATCCACTACCGAGAATTGAAACCCTGACAGTAAGGTTATCAAGCAAACATCATATCAACTGTTCCAACGGGCCTCATTGACGAAGAAGTTGCAAATCAGACTCAATATATATACTTGTATTATTTTTATTATTTCATGTTATTGTCCTCATCTTCATTGTTATAGATTATTGTATTATAGACACAACATTTCGGTCTTGTGGCTACCATTAGAGTTCCATTGTTTGGCTAATGTATGATATCTGTTGATTGATGTCTTATTGCGTCCCTGTTGTAACCTAGGAAGTATTACTGAAAGAGTAATAACCAAAACGGAGGTTGGGAATAAAATGGTAAAGTTTATAACATAAACAAAATAAAATACTCGCCAGCGGCCAGCGGCTGAAGTAGGTAAACTACTGCTAGTGGTGCACTACATAGACAGCATATTTGTATTTACTTGACCCCCCACCGAGTCATGTTGTGACATAAGGTCGGTTTTTAACGTGGGGACCCGCTGGTCTTACCTGGTCATAGCTTGTCTATGTCAGAGCTGGTCTAAGCTAGTCATAGCTGGTCTAAGCTGGTCAGGGCCGGTCCAAGCTAGTTATACCTGTGATACTACCAGCGCAGGGACGGAGCCCTGTGACCGGTAAGTATCAGAATACGTATACTACTGAAGAGAACAATTTACAACACAGACAGCATATTTGTTTCTGTTAAAATACAGAAAATGTGGCACAAGGCCTAAGAAAGGGGTTGGGGAAAGGACGGTCTTCATCTTCAAACTTCAACTTCAAACTTAGCTAGCCAGAAATACTGACCCAAACATAAAAACAATATTCCTTACACTAAGCAAAGCAAAGGCGAAAGCGGACAACCTTGACGAATGGAGCGAGACAATACGAAAGGCTCCGATCGTTCCCCATTCACCTCCACCAGCGTACCGGGAGTCGCATACAAAAGTTGGATCCAGGTACGAAAGTATGGCCAAAGGACAGCCTCCAGAAAACGATGGTCAACCCTATCGAAGGCCTTGGACTGACCTAAATTCATCAGCGCGGCTTCACTGTCGACTTTCTCGATGATCAAGCGTACCATATGAAGTTTGTCCTGAATAGTCTTACCCTTCAGAGCACACGTCTATTTGGAGCCAGTTAGACTAGACAGGACAGCCTGCAAATGGTTGGCTAAGATCTTTGCCAAAATCTTTAATTCTGTATTTAACATACTTAAAGGGCGAAAATTACCTATCCTATCCCCACCGTTCCTGTCCTTGCTTAGCAACTTGACCACACCCCTGGTGAAGCGCTTAGGTATAGACCCTTGCTTCATCCAGTTGTTATAAATCAGTTCCAACAAAGGAAAAACAACATCAAGCACGCAAAGCCTGCCCGCGGGATCTGCAAAGACAAGAGTACACGCAACCTTCAAAGACTTGCTCACCAGCCAAGAGACATCTCTCGAACGACCATCAAAACATGCTGAATAGAGGGAGAACCCTCTAGACAGAATGTCCTCATAGTCATGAGTAGAAAAACGACTCTCTTGTACACAACAAACATACACTCCGAGGCGCTGAAGGTGACACGAGAGCCTCGCTCTCTGAGCCTCCGACCTCAGGCCTTGGACATTCAGACTAGCTAACCAGAGAGCCATAATGAGACCGATTAGGGTTGCTCTCCTGCATTAAACATGGACGGAGAAAGGACACCGACGGCCTCTCTCATCGAACCTGTTCTTATCTCAGTTTTCATGTTTCCATCGGGAGACAGGCCTTCAATGTCCAGAGGGAAAGTTAGCTTTAAAAATATATACAGGTAGCGGTGAACAAAAAGCGGGAACCTTCCTGAACAAAATTGTTGCAATTTTTTCCACCGTATCATTATCAAAACATGCCATGGGCGGAAACATCCCGAAGACTTCATCAGCCTCCGCAACCATGGCCCAAATGTGTTGACCGGCTTCGCCCCCTCTAACGACAACGAAATTTCTTGGATCTTCAATATCTAGGTTGTTAATTTTCCTGAAATTAACCAGAGACTTAATATTCTTCATTTTATCGAAAAATGAAGTGTCTTTTCCTCTAGTTCTCTGG